AGAATGGGGATGTTCACTACTACATGAACAGAGAGTAAGAATGTTCACTACTACATGAACAGAGAGTAAGAATGTTCACTACTACATGAACAGAGAGTATGAATGCTCACTACTACATGAACAGAGAATGGGGATGTTCACTACTACACGAATAGAGAATAGGGATGTTCACTACTACATGAACAGAGAATAGGAATGCCATTTAGTACTTACAACATACTCATCAAATATTTTTTGTTATTACTTTTTTTTTTTTTTACTTTTCGGGAGAATTACAGCAACTTACAGGTTAATTTGCATTTTCCAGTCCTCAGTCTAGTTGTGATAAATTTCTTACTGACAGTACATTTAAAAAGAGATTTGAGTACTTTTATGTAATAGTTTAGGCTGTATTTTGTTCATTTAGTAGTGATAGATTTAGGCTGTATTTTGTTCATGTAGTAGAGATAGATTTAGGCTGTATTTTGTTCATGTAGTAGTGATAACTTTAGGCTGTATTTTGTTCATTTAGTAGTGATAACTTTAGGCTGTATTTTGTTCATTTAGTAGTGATAACTTTAGGCTGTATTTTGTTCATTTAGTAGTGATAACTTTAGGCTGTATTTTGTTCATGTAGTAGTGATAGATTTAGGCTGTATTTTGTTCATTTAGTAGTGATAGATTTAGGCTGTATTTTGTTCATTTAGTAGTGATAACTTTAGGCTGTATTTTGTTCATTTAGTAGTGATAACTTTAGGCTGTATTTTGTTCATTTAGTAGTGATAGATTTAGGCTGTATTTTGTTCATTTAGTAGTGATAACTTTAGGCTGTATTTTGTTCATTTAGTAGTGATAACTTTAGGCTGTATTTTGTTCATGTAGTAGTAATAACTGTAGGTTGTAAGACGATATTCTCTTATCATTTTATCTTATCTTTTATCATGACGTTTCGAATTACTTGGAGGTTTTATTTTAACTCCAGGTAATCAGTACATCAAAGCTATAAGTTACATTTCGAACTTGGTTTTGAAGTTTTAACTCATGAGTTTACCTGAGAATATATACGTAAGAAACTGGAATGACGTCAAAAGTTCATGTTAAAATTTAAATACTATAGTATAATCCCATTCTTAACCACGCCTCCAGCGGTAGAGGTAAGTTTATGTAGTTAATAGTACCTCTTTATTTTCATAAACAAACATGAGACAAGTATGATTTAGATATTCTCTGATGGACAAAAAATAACAAAATTATATTAAATAACCAAGAACTTCAAATGTTTGTAAAACATTGAATTAAATTTGGCCCACCCCTTATAGTTGATCTTTTAACTTCACATGTTTCTCAAACCGATTGTAAAAACATTGAGTTAAATTTGGCCCACTCCTTATAGTTGATCTTTTAACTTCACATGTTTCTCAAACTGATTGTAAAAACATTGAATTAAATTTGGCCCACCCTTTATGGTTGATCTTTTAACTTCACATGTTTCTCAAACCGATTGTAAAAACATTGAATTAACTTAGCTCACCCCTTATAGTTGATCTTTGTTTCTCAAACTGATTGTAAAAACATTGAATTAAATTTGGCTCACCCCTTATAGTTGATCTTGTAGTTCCTCAACAATTTACAATTCTTAGGTTTCAATTTAGAAATTATTGGTACAACACTCTTAAGTAATCCATATTTCAAGATTAAAATTGTTGTACAACATTTTCATATAATTCAGGTTTCTATTTTGGCACAACACTTCACTGTAATTCATCAATATGAAGCCAGATTAGCAGTGGATGTAAAATAGCACAGGAACAAGAAGTAAAACAGTAATTAACTTTTGGCTTCATAGACACAGCAAAGGTCAACACATCTCACTAAATTAGAGGAATACAAGAATAATCAACTTTTGGCTTCAAAGACACAATTCTGGTATTCCTCTAATTTAGTGAGATGTGTTGACCTTTGCTGTGTCTATGAAGCTAAAAGTTGATTATTCTGGTATTCCTCTAATTTAGTGAGATGTGTTGACCTTTGTTGTGTCTTTGAAGCCAAAAGTTGATTATTCTTGTATTCTAATTTAGTGAGATGTGGTGACCTTTGCATGTGTTGACCTTTGTTGTGTCTTTGAAGCCAAAAGTTGATTATTCTGGTATTCCTCTAATTTAGTGAGATGTGTTGACCTTTGTTGTGTCTTTGAAGCCAAACGTTTATTATTGTTACAATATTTGATAAAACGTTTACTGATGTTACATTGTTTTGAAGTACCATTGTTACAATATTTGATAAAACGTTTACTTATGTTACAAGTATTACTTTGTAGCTGATTTGTTTGGAAAATAATTTACTCTGATAATGCTTGATAGCTCTGTTTATATTATATTTTATATTCTGAATATGGATCATTTTCAAGTAATAACTCACTTCCATGCTCCAGTATTCAGTACGAAATACTAAATCCATTGCTTCTTAACTTAACTTTTCCATAATCCTCTAATTTAGTGAGAAATACTTGATTTGAAGTAGCATTGTTACAATATTTGATAAAACGTTTACTGATGTTATATTGTTTTGAAGTACCACGTTTCACTTATGCACAACACAGTAAGTCTAAATGCTATCTTGTACACACTTTGATCTCGAGCCGCAGTGGACAGAGGCGAGTAATGTGAGGTGAACAAATGAGTGAGTAAGTTGTTGTGAGGTGTTCTTTTTATTTGAGGATTAACAATATAGAGTGATATTCTCAAGATCGTTTGAACTCCTGTTTCTCTGAGAAACAAATCGTTTGTCCTATGATGTGATCTTAATGTATTATCTTTGTCATTGTAGGTCTACATTTGTCACCTTTATGTCGTAAACTAATACTCTTCCGATAAAATATTTTTTCTTATCTTTTCTCTCATCACTGATTCAGACGTGATCTTTATTTAGCTGTGAGTGGTATCTGAAGATTACTTTGCTCTGACGTTATACACCTTCAGGGATGATGGACCTTGTATCCGAATGTTGTATACGAACAAGATTTTATGACTGTCCTGCGTAGTATGTTCATTAACATTGTAATTAAGGTGTTCTTTTTGTAAATAACTTATAACTAGACCTTATGAAATAAAGTTAGAAACGATCTAATCTATAGACACTCTTTCAAAGTACTTAAATGTTTTGAAGGATGAACTTATTATAGAAATATTTGTGTATTGTCGATGTTTTGAAAGATGAACTTATTTTAGAAATATTTGTGTACTGTAAATGTTTTGAAGGATGAATTTATTGTAGAAATATTTGTATACTGTAAATGTTTTGAAGGATGAACTTATTTTAGAAATATTTGTGTACTGTAAATGTTTTGAAGGATGAATTTAGTGTAGAAATACTTGTGTACTGTAAATGTTTTAAAGGATGAACTTATTGTAGAAATATTTGTGTACTGTACATGTTTTGAAGGATGAATTTATTGTAGACATATTTGTGTACTGTAAATTTGAAGGATGAATTTACTGTAGAAATATTTGTGTACTGTAAATGTTTTGAAGGATGAATTTACTGTAGAAATATTTGTGTATTGTAAATGTTTTGAAGTATGAAGTTGCTGTAGAAGTATTGGTGTACTGTAAATGTTTTAAAAGATGAATTTATTATAGAAATATTTGTGTATTGTAAATGTTTTGAAGTATGAAGTTGCTGTAGAAGTATTGGTGTACTGTAAATGTTTTAAAAGATGAATTTATTATAGAAATATTTGTGTATTTTATTAGAAGTCCTTTGCCGGTTTTATTAGCAAGTTGAGCTGCAATTAAAATTATTTAAAAGCACTGGATATCCTCTGAAGATTGTTCTTGTTAACCTCAGTTTAAAAAGCATGCTGAACTGCAATTAAAATTATTTAAAACCACTGGATATCCTCTGAAGATTGTTCTTGTTAACCTCAGTTTAAATAGCATGTTGAACTGCATGTAAAATTAGTTAAAAGCACTGGATATCCTCTGAAGATTGATCTTGTTCACTTAAGTTTAAAAAACAAAAAATTATCTGTTTACAGGGCGCAAGTTAGAGACATTGGATCGTCTTTCCCCCCTCTCATACTGATGTAAATTTATTTAGGAATCTCCAGGTACGTTGAAAACACTGAGGACAATTAACACCTTACATCAGAAGATTCTTACCTCTAAAGACATTGTGTTCAGGACTATCGGATACTATTTACATACATGTGTTATACTGACCTATTCTTTAGAACTGTGTATTCGTCACCTCGGTGGGTCAGAGGTAAGTATAGGGCTAAAAATGCTAAAATCTGAGGTTTGATTCCCTACGGTAGACAGAATACAAAGAGCCCATTATGTAGCTTTGTAATAAGAAAACAACAATAACACGAACTCTGGATTCATATAACTTTTAACTTTGCCTCGGGGAAAAATGTATATAACTATTTTGTTTATATTAAACAATCTGGACATAGAGCTCAGTGTAACATCTTGCTGTGATATAGTTTTAAAGTAGAGTAATCACGCCCTATGAGTCTTATCTTACTATGCTTCAAACAATAAACTTCAATGCTTAGTTTTATAGAATAGTTTATGATATAGTTTTAAGGTAGAGTAATCACGCCCTATGAGTCTTATCTTACTATGCTTCAAACAATAAGCTTCAATGCTTAGTTTTATAGAATAGTTTATGATATAGTTTTAAGGTAGAGTAATCACGCCCTATGAATCTTATCTTACTATGCTTCAAACAATAAGCTTCAATGCTTAGTTTTATAGAATAATTTATCATAAAAGTATGATAATAAATAATAAAATTGGTATACTACAGCGGAGAATGTATATAAATTCGAACACAGACATTGATGTGTTTGTTTCATTTTGAAACAACAGTTCTTCTTAATTCTTGTAATTTCTGTAACGTCAGTAATTCCAAAATTTTGTTATGATTAAAATTTAACCCCACTCGTTTAGAGAAAAGAAATTATCCGCTGTAACTCAACAACAAAATGTTGTTTTTTTTAATTCAATATGAAACATTAAAGCAGAAGTTTCAGAAAACCAGCTAAGAGAAGCAACCCAGTTGTTTTACTTAGCGTTCTTTGATCGTTCTTGGGTCCCAGGTAGCCACTCGTATATTTTCAGAGGGTCTTTCTAGTGGGACAAAAAGTGTTCAACAAAGATAAAATCATTGGACATTATTAACTTTCTCAAACGCATTGTAGGAAAAATCTTTCTGGAACTGTAAACAAGTGAATTACCTAGTTTCTGAATAGGCAATTTGGGTTTGGAGAACTGTTTATTGAGTGCTGCGTAATTCGTAACACTTCACTAAGTCACGTGGCTATTATTATGCCTGCACGGAATGCTTAGATACGATCTTAAGATGAACCTTATCAGTGAAGGAGGAGGGCTTGAACCAGCACGCTGTGAGTAAGGTTAGTAGCTATCACGTGAACAGCAGTCGCTTGCTAAGTCCCTTGAATGTAAATCATAAGTATTTCTTGACTAATTTATCACAGAAGAAACAAAATTAGTTAGTTTCCTGCCCACAGTGTATCGAAAGTCAGATAGAATGTCTTCTAAATATAGAAAGTTGTTGTGTATAAATTAAGTAGTGGATGTAAGTATAATACTTATTTACACAATCAAACAAGTATCAACATTAATACAGTTCTATAAATTAAGTAGTGGATGTAAGTATAATACTTATTTACACAATCAAAATTAATGTTGATACTTGACAATTCTATAAATTAAGTAGTGGATGTAAGTATAATACTTATTTACACAATCAACATTAATACAATTCTATAAATTAAGTAGTGGATGTAAGTATAATACTTATTTACACAATCAAACAAGTATCAACATTAATACAATTCTATAAATTAAGTAGTGGATGTAAGTATAATACTTATTTACACAATCAAACAAGTATCAACATTAATGCAATTCTATAAATTATGTAGTGGATGTAAGTATAATACTTATTTACACAATCAACATTAATACAATTCTATAAATTAAGTCTGGTACATTATTGTTTAACGTGTGTAATGTGTGTTTTCTACCCTTTCAAAAATATGTAGAAACGTCTTTGAACATGTGTGTGTGGAAAAACCGTTCTCAATGAAAAATTGCAGTGATTAATTTTCACTTTCTGTTTGCAAGTATTCTAAAGATCCTGAAATAAGAAAGAGTTCTTTTGACTTCGAGTTAAGGCACAGAAGTTGCTATATTGCCTGTTTCTATTTACACCTTTCTATGCTAAGGCACCACAAATAGGTTATTCCGAAATCGGAGAAGTTGAGTCAAATTGATGACTTTATATTGACCAAATTAACCAGTTTGGCATCTATATGATATAAGGCTTTGGCTTCAAGACTACGTAGCTGTAAGCCCAAAACAATAATTAAAACACAAAGTAACTTGCGTTATTGATGTCGTTTTTTTAAACAGCCACGAACGTCAACACCAAGCATTAGAACAAGTCTATTTAGCTGTGTTATTTTGTCGATGTGTTATGCTAGTCCAAAAAAAAAGGTGTTTTGGGTTAAATACTTTCAAAACAGGAAAATTTTCAAAACCAAAAACACGTTTCAGCTTCAATGGTAGACAGATCTCCTAACAACGAAGGAACGATAAGACGTGCTTATAATATAAGATATAGGTCAGAAACTTTTATTAACAGGTATAAGCTGGTATATACAATATAAAGAATAGAACATTGTACACAATATCAGAAATATAACATTACACACACAATACCACTACTAGAACATTATACCCAATATGAGGACTAGAACAGTACACACACAATATCAGGACTAGAACATTACACACACACAATATCAGGACTAGAACATTACACACACACAATATCAGGACTAAAACATTACACACACAATATCAGGGCTAAACTAGAACAGTACACACACAATATCAGGACTAAAACATTACACACACAATATCAGGACTAGAACTGTACACACACAATATCAGGACTAGAACATTACACACACAATATCAGGACTAGAACATTACACACAATATCAGGACTAGAACAGTACACACACAATATCAGGACTAGAACAGTACACACAGTTTAAGGAACAGAAGGGCACAATTATAGTATCTTGGAAATAGAAAAGCATACTTATAGTATTAAATATACGAAACCCCATCTATATATATATATATATATATATATTGTTTGTAATTAGGAAGGAACACTTACAATCCTAAGATTAAGAAGACAAGTCATGCCTGTAATATGGAGAACACAAGAACGAAATTATAGGCACAGTTATAATCAATGGTATAGGAAAATAGACGTATATACTTAGGAATGGGATGACAACATAATTTCAGAAATAGAAAATGATATTTAACTTAACATTTGAAGGCTAGAAAATAAATTGTTGTCAGAGTACAATGCTAGGTTTAGCTTAATGATTTTATACACGCCAAGTGACGAGTAAATATATATATATATTATCATAAACCTATACATTCTGTCTTTCCAGACTTTATCACCCGAATAAGTATATCTTTATTGTGGCTTTACACTTCTAATAATTTCATTTTTAACATATTCTTTACTGTGGCTTAAGACTGGTAACACCTGCATTTTTTATCCTATTCTTTATTGCGGCTTAAGACTGGTAATACCTTTATTTTTAACACATTCCTTATTGTGACTTAAGACTGGTAACACCTGCATTTTTTATCCTATTCTTTATTGTGTCTTAAGACTGGTAACACCTGCATTTTTAACATATTCTTTATTGAGGTTTAAGACTAATAATACTTATATTTTTTAATATATTCTTTATTGTGGCTTATAACTAGTAATACCTTTGTTTTTTTACATATTATTTATTGATGTTTAAGATTAATAATACCTGTATTTTTTAACATATTCTTTATTGAGGTTTAAGACTAATAATACCTTTATTTTTAACACATTCCTTATTGTGACTTAAGACTAATAATACCTGTATTTTTAACATATTCTTTATTGAGGTTTAAGACTAATGTTAATATCTAACTATTAATTAAAGTGTTACTTGGAATTCCTCTGTAAAGTTAGCTTACCATTACGCTTGATAACCTGGAACACAATAAGTTCTAGTCGTGTTAATATCTAACTATTAATTAAAGTGTTACTTGGAATTCCTCTGTAAAATTAGCTTACCATTACGCTTGATAACCTGGAACACAAGAAGTTCTAGTCGTGTTAATATCTAACTATTAATTAAAGTGTTACTTGGAATTCCTCTGTAAAGATAGCTTACCATTACGCTTGATAACCTGGAACACAATAAATTCTAGTCGTGTTAATATCTAACTATTAATTAAAGTGTTACTTGGAATTTCTCTGTAAAGTTAGCTTACCATTACGCTTGATAAACTTGTGAAATGGCAGTAATAGAAAATTAACGACACTTCAATGAACGGTCATATTTTGTGGGCCTGAGGTGGTCAGTATGTTGGTCATCACGAACGTATTCAAGGCTTTCATCATTAGAATCCTGAACTTAGCATTATACTTCTGAACTCTGACAACTATAAACAAGAGCCAGACAAGTTTGGTAGAAGAGTAGGCACATTTAAGCAGTAGAGGAACAAACTTAAAGCCTGAAATATTGCCTGCACAGTCACGATATCCTGCAGTGTTGAATAGAAAAAGTAGAAATTTTCAGCACGGCGGATGACATTGCAACATTCTTCTAGGCTTTAATTTACCTTAAGAAAGTCTGAACGTCATCACATAAAGATGACAAGCCTGTTTCTTACGAATAAATTATTCAAATTCACGTTCGTTATTCCATTCTGTCTCTCTACTAACTGCATCTAAGTTCACGAATGGTTTTTTTATTAGCGTGTTGTTTATTTTGCATTGGTTTGTTTATTGTTAAAGACAAAGCTTCACCACGGGCTATCTGCGTTGTGCCCGCCATGGTTATCGAAACACGGTTTTTAGCGTTATAAGCCATTTGACTTACCAGTGAAAAACTGGGGGTCTTTTATTTTGGTATTTGTAAATGTGACAAAAATATCTTGAACAAATAGGTATATGTCTAGAAACTCACAATTCATAATGGTAGTTATAACACAAGTACCACGATCGTTAGTTTAAAGAAATGTGATTGATCTAGATAAGTAGTTTACTCTCAGTTCCAAAGAAAAAACTGTAATAACTTACTAAACCTTATATATATATATATACCTGGGAATTTTGGTATAATTAAATATTGACCAACTGTAAAGATCAATTTATTTCGATCTCCGGTGAACTCAAGGGCGAAAATTGGGTTTCGGTAACAACGATGAATAGTGCACAAATAGCCAGTTGTGTAACTTTATGTTTATTAACAAAACATACATTATAATAATTGAAAAATAATGCATCTCTACTCATAAACATTTATTGTTCTGACTTCCAAATGAGGAGTTTTATGTACCGTGATTTGTTGCCTGCAAGAAAATAGTGATTTTTATGTACTGTGATTGGTGGTCTGTTAGGAAATTATGATTTTTATGTACTGTGATTGGTAGCCTACTAGGAAATGATGATTTTTATGTACTGTGATTGGTAGCCTATTAAGAAATGATGATTTTTATGTAACGTGATTGGTGGCCTGCATTATTTTTGAGAAAGATTATAAAAACAACACTCGGTTTACATGTTTACTAATTTTTGGAAGGTTCACTAGAATGTTAAATCACTAACCACATTAAGTCTGCTTTTCTTGAGCAGTTATGCTCTACATTATTACAATGTTCAATTTGTATCACTAACTACATTAAGTCTGCTTTTCTTGAGCAGTTATGCTCTACATTATTACAATGTTAAATTTGTATCACTAACTACATTAAGTCTGCTTTTCTTGAGCAATTATGCTCTACATTATTAGATAACAAAACATCAACATCATACCTTACACACAAATTACATTTTTCGTAATTGAAGTAACATTTTGTGAAAAGAATTACTCTTTTAAAACTCATGAATCAGGAGTTCAAGCAGAAATACTGATAAAACTGAGTTATGCAGGCTGTTATAAATTAATAACACTATTAACTATCTGCTACAAAGAACATGAGTGATCTAACATGCTTACCGGTTGTTAGAAGTAACCTAAATACTTATACAACATACTAATAGCCTGTTAGAACATAAGTATTTATACACTATGTTTACCGGCTGTTAGAAGTAACCTAAATACTTATACAACATACTAATAGCCTGTTAGAACATAAGTATTTATACAGTATGTTTACCGGTTGTTAGAAGTAACCTAAATACTTATACAATATACTAATAGCCTGTTAGAACATAAGTATTTATACACTATGTTTACCGGCTGTTAGAAGTAACCTAAATACTTATACAACATACTAATAGCCTGTTAGAACATAAGTATTTATACACTATGTTTACCGGCTGGTAGAAGTAACCTAAATACTTATACAACATACTAATAGCCTGTTAGAACATAAGTATTTATACACTATGTTTACCGGCTGGTAGA